TTACAAATAAAGCTGCAAAACAAAAACAAAAACAAATAAAGCTGCTATGAACATTTGTATACTAGTCTTTGTGCAAATGTTTTTTTCCTCCTGGCTAAATACCTAGACATAGAGTGACTGGATCATATGATAGGTATATGTTTAACTTTTTAAGAAACAGCCGAACTGTTTTCCAAGGCAACTGTACCATTTTCCATTCACAGTAGCAATGTATGAGAGTTCCAGTTGCTCCATGTCCTCATCAACAATTGGTATGATGAATTTTTTTTTAAATTTTAGTCATTCTAAAGGGTGTGCACTGGTATTGTGGTTTTAATTTACATTTCCCATGTGACTAATGATGTTGAACATAATTTCAGGTGCTAATTGGCATTCGTGTATCTACTGTCGTGAAGTAACTTCAAATCTTTTGCCCACATCTTTATTTGTCTTATTGTTAAATTTCATTAATGATGTCTTTCAAATGGCAGTTTTTTATTTTAATGAAGTCTAAGTTACCAAATTTTCATTTTGCTTATTATGATTTATGCTTTTTTGTGTTCTAAGCACTGCCAGCCTTAAGTTCACAATGATATTCTGTTTTCTAAAAGGTTTATAATTTGGGATTTGACACTTAGGTTTGTGATCTATATTTCTGCCTATGGTGTGAGGTAGAGTTTTCATTTTTTTTCCCAATGTGGATATTCAGTTGATCTAGTACCATTTGTTGAGAAGACTTCTTTCCATATTGAGTTGCTTTAGCACCTTTGTCAAAAATCAGTTGACCCACCATGAATGGACCTATTTCTGCACTCTACTGTGTTCCATTGATCTTTATCTGTTCACCAATATCAAACTACCTTGATTAGTGCAGCTTAATAGTTAAGTTTTGAAGTCGGGTAGGCTAGGTCTTCCAACTTCATTCTTCTCTTTAAAATTTGCTCTGATTACTCCGGGTCCCTTGTGTTTCTGTCAATTTCTTAAAAAAAAAAAAGCCTGGCATGTAGTAGGTGCTTGGTAAACATGTATCATTTATGAATAAATGAATAAAGAATTAAAATAACTGCCATGTGTAACTGAAATAACAGAAATTAGATGTTCTATTGTTTTGAACATTTTATTGTTCAAAACAACCCACAATTCTAAGGTGACATAAGAAGCCATTGGGTAAAGTATCCAAGAACTAGAAATCTGATACAATTGGTAGGTTGTTATAAACAATCAAGACTGTTGGGCAAAGCTACCCTGTTTCTGATTATGATTTCAAAGTACTGAATCAAATGAGGTATGAGTTGAAATTTAAGAATTATTAGGTGTTAGCTGAACCTGAGATCGATGGTATAATACTGGTTCTATGTTCCCTTCTCTTCCTCATCCACAATAGGTGTCTTCTAGTTTTCGAAAGCAAGGTACAGCGGTCCCTCAATATCCATGGAGGATTGGTTCCAGGAACCTCTGGAGATACCAAAATCCATGGATGCTCAGGTCCCTTTTATAAAATGTTACAGTACTTGCATATAACCTCCGCGTATCTTCCCTTCTACTTTAAATCATTTCTAGATTACTCAAAATACCTAATACAATGTAAATATCATGTTAAGAGTTATAAATACGATGTAAATCCTATGTAAGTTGTTGCTGGTGTGGCAAATTCAAGTTTTGTTTTGCTTTTTGGAACTTTCTGGAACTTTTTAAAGAATATTTTTGTTCCATGGTGTTGAATCCACAGATTTAGAACCCCTGGACATGGAAGGCCAACTGTATATATCTCACTATCCAAATCTTTTAATAGTGCATGGCCCTGGGGCATAAAAAACCTCAAGTTGCCTAACAAAGTGCCACTTCTATATAATAATGTTGGCACTGGTGTTCAGAAAGTAAATGACTCTAATTACTAGATAAAAATTCCTTCTGCAAGTTAAGTGGTTTCCAATGTCTGCCTTCAACAAAGTAGGAGGAGGACCTAATCTAATTGTCTACTTAAAGATCATTAAAAATGATTTTTGATGAAAAATCACCAAGTCACTTTGGTATATAACTTGGAAGTAGTTCAAAGAATTAAGTTACAATGCTGTAACAAAACTCCTTCCAGATCCATCCACTCATCTACAGGAGTAAGGGTTTTCAGCGCTTACGTGTATAAAAATGAAAACATAGGGAGAGTATTGATGCTGTGCTGTGTCTCATCTTACAGATCAGTAATATTCAAAACCAGCTGTATGAACTAATTATTTTAAAAGATGTATCTCAAAGTATACATATACAAAAAGATACATCTCATTAAAAGATATATTTCCAATAAAATGTTACTTTTGTGTTTAATAATCACGTAACAATATTTATAATACATGTTATTTTGATCAGTTGTGTGTTAATAGTAACTGTTAAAAACTGTCTTTACGGAAGAAAAAAGTTTTAACACTTATAACCATATAATCCTAGGAAATTAAAAAATTTTTCCTTAACACAGACTTCTGATTAGAGATGTTGACTGAATAAACAAAAGCACAATGTGAGAGCTGTGAGTTAAGTTTTATTTGGGGGCAAAATGAGGACTATAGCCCAGGAGACAGCATTTCAGATGGCTCTGAGGAACTGCTTCAAAGAGGCAGGGGGTAAGGTCAGTGTATATGTGATTTTGGTGAAGGGGAGTACATGCAATCAAGCACACACTTTTACAGAAGGTCGCTGCTGGTTAGGAAGAGCAGATGGCTCCACTAATGATTCTAGTGCTTGTCTAGATATGAGGATATGGGCTCATAAAATCTTCTCCTAAAAATATCTAGCTATCTGAAGGCCTGTTCTGCCAGCTTTTCCCAGAGCAGAGAGTACCTCATTCCTGATCTCCACCCTGAACCCCCTTCCGGGAGTGTTAAAGGTCAGTGACTGCAGCAGCTCATGATTTAATCCTCATAGAGGCAGATGGCAAGGGCAAATTTTTAGTTGGAAGGCTTAGGAAATTAAAATTTTTTTTCTTTAACATATATAGTTACGTTTAGAGAGAAGTATGATAATGTGATCACTAGAAGATATGTGAACATAAAAATATGTCAAGAACAAACAACAACAATAACAAACAAACCCTCCATTATTGCTTTTCATAGCCCCTGAATATCAGATCCCAATTTTTACCTGATACTGCGGGGGCTCGGGTAATCTTATTGGTTTCCTTTATCATGTTTAATTAACATTACCTAAAAGGCAGATTTATATGCCCTGTCTTATAATACTGTTACCAAAACAAACTTGGGTCTGCTTGCCCATACACAGTAAAGCCAATCTCCTGACACTGGGTTGTGGTGAAGGAAAGTACAGAGTTTATTGCAGGGCCCCAAGCAAGGGATTGGGAGTGCTCTTCCTCACAGCATGTCAGCTGGATTCCAAGAGTGAGTGTTCCAAAGGCAGGCAGGGGAAGGTGCCAGTTTCTTAGCACCTGGGCCTGAAACTGGCACTTCAGTATTCCATTCACTGGAGAAATCACAAAACCCATCCAGATTCAAAAAGAGAAGAAACAGATCTCACTTCTCCATAAGTGTGTCAAAGAATCTGTGCATCTTAATCTGTCATGAGCTTCCTCCTGGCCACAAACTGCTTACCTTCCTTTTACATGCAAAATACAATCACTTTCTTTCAAGACTTTTCAAATATTTCATCCTATTTTGAACATCAGCCTTAAACTGTCATCGAGGGTAACTTCAGGTCACTTATTTCATGTCAGATACCTAAACCTACTGGACTTGAAGAGCCATAAGAGAGGACCTTTATCTGTCTTTTTCACTCAGATCGGTTCTTGGTCCATAATAAGTGCACTATACATAATTATGGAACAGGTAACCTTATTTATTTCTCACTATTCAGCTGAAAAAATTGACAGGGTAAGTAAATTTCCAAAGGTTAGGGAGTAATAGTCAAATCAGGGGTTAAGATCTATTTGACTTAAAATTCATTCTGAAAATATGTAACATGGCCTCTATCTTAGTGGGACTTAGAATCTAGTGGAGGAAGGTAAGATTAGGTATGATTAGAAAACAAAACAAAAAACAAACAAACAAAAAGGACACTATGAACTCACCTACAAAACAGAAACAGACTTTCAGATCTAGTAAACTTATGGTTAGGGGGAAAGGGGGTGGGAGGGGATAAAGTTGGCAGTTTGATATTTACAAATGTTAGACACTATATATAAAAATAGATTTTAAAAAAGTTTCTTCTGTATAGCACAGGGAACTATGCTCAATATCTTATAATAACCTTTAATGGAAAAAATAGGGAAATGAATATATGTATGTATATGCAAGACTAGGACATTGTTCTGGGCACCAGAAATGGACACTTTGTAATCGACTATACTTCAATTAAAAAAAAATAAAATGAGTAAAATTTTAAAAAAAAGAAAATGAGGTGACAAAGGCTAAGCTACAGTATTGGCTGTGGGAAGGAACAGATGCAACTAACAGATTGAAGAGGCCAAGATTTGGTGACTGTCCAAATTTGGGAAGGGTGGGAACAGACAGAGCCAAGGATGATGTCCAGACTCTGAGGGAGTAGGAGACCAGGACAATGATGAAACAGACCAATTTGGAGAGGTAGCTGGACATGAGAATTCAGTTTCACAAATGAGCCAACCAGCAGGCCAGGCAAAAACTGCAGATCCAGGAATCCTATTGAGGTCATTTACTAACTTCTAAAAAAAGCCTTTAAATATTTAAAAGTTGTGGTAAAATGCACATAAAACTTAGCATTTTTAAGTGTATAGTTCAGTGGCATTACGTACACTCATATTGTTGTGCAACCATCCCCATCATCCATCTATGGAACTTTTCCATTATCCCAAAGTGAAACTCTGTACCCACTAAACAGTAACTTCCAATTCCCTACTATTTTAGTACTTTCTGTCTCTATGAATTTGACTATTCTAGGTATCTTGTATATGTGGAATCATACCAAAGGGGAGAAAAAAATTTTTTCTTCTACCCTTCTGAGTTCTTCGCTGAGACGCCCTGTAGTAAAAGATACATTAACAAGAGAAAAACAGAAATTTATTAACATGTATATATGGGCGATACCCAGGAAGAATGAGTTATTCCCTGAGAAGGCCCAAGCTACTATCTTACACAGTCTTCAGTAAAGACAAAAGAAAAATGTTGAGTTGGGGGTGGGGAGAGGCCAGTTATAGGAGGTTACCAGGAAACTCCTGGTAAAAAGGGTAATGTTTGTTTTGCAGATTTAAATCAGTGCCTTCTCAGTGATAAGATTTCATGTGGTTCACTCATCTTTCTATGCCTGGTGCAGAGAGGGAGACACCCTAACGGACGGAGATTTCCTTTATAAATCTGAATTTCCCTTTCACAAGGGTAATTTCTACTACATTTTCAGAGCTTCTCTTGTGTCTGCTGTTTGTTTAAACAATCAGCTCAAAACAGTCCTTATGCCAAAGAGGCATATTTTGGGGTGCGTATTCTGTTACCCTTCATTGCTGCCTTTGAAGCTTCCCCAGAAGCTGAGTTGGTAGATGGACCCATATCTTACTGAACTAGTCTCAATCCTGAGAATATGTCACTTACATTAAAGAGTTGTTTCTCATTTCAGGAGGTAGTGGTGCAGGTGGCTCCCAAAGTCAGGCCTATATGGTTCAGGCTATCAGGTATTTAATAAAAGGCATTTCTATGGAAACAAAAAAAAGAAAAACAGTGTTAATGATTAGAACAGACTATAAACTCAGTTTCTGAGTCCAGAGGGCAGTTACTTGAGATGATGTCTAGACATTGGACTTGAAGCACCTTCAGTCAGAGTGAGGAGGGGCAGTGGCAATCTGATGGATTTTACTGTTTTGCAGTTTTAATATCTCTAGTGATGCCATCTGGTGTTCCAGTGAAATTTCTGAGTGGCCCACACAGCCAGTAAGCACAAAGTTTGTCCAACATGAGCTGCTGTGGCAACTTCTCTAGTTTGTATCAAGTCATCCAGCTTCAGCTTTCGGGGCTTTGAGAAGAGGGCAGTTTTTGTTCTTAGTGATTCCAGGTCAGAAGGGTGGGAGAAATGTGGAAATGTTAGTTTAATGACTCAGATATTGGTGAAAACTAGAAGAATTCAGGATGCAGTCAGTTTGCAGGTACATAACAAAACCTCAAAGGCAATGAACAGGACTAAAATCCAGCATCCACAAAAGTGCTCTACTGAAAGTTATTTTTCCTTCCCTACCCACAATACAGTATTTGTCCTTCTGTGACCAGCTTATTTCACTTAGCATAGTATCTTCAAGATTCATCCATGTTGTAGCATGGCAGAGTCATTCCTTTTAAAGACTGAATAATATTTCATCACATGTATATGACACTTTCGTTTACTCATTTATCCACTGATGGACATTTGGGCTGTTTCTACCTTTTGCTATTCTGAAAAATGCTACTGTGAACATTGGTGTACAAATATCTGTTCCAGTCTCTGTTTTCAATTCTTTTGGGTATATACAGTTAATAGATAAACTGAGGCATACTGGAATTTTTAAGAATTTGCCTAAAAAAAAAAAAAGGAGTTGAGCACTCATCAATTTGAATCTGTTAGCTCCTAATTACTGTCAAGAACAAGAGGAAAGATTTTTATAGGGAAGATGCCAAAGCAAAGCAGGGAAATTACTAGACTGGCTCTAGGTTGTTGACAAAGAAATGCAGAAGGCTGCAAATAAGAAGAGTTTATTTGGAGACTCATAGACATAGAATACAAACTTGTGGCTGCCAGGGGGGAGGTGGGTGGGAAGGGACAGACTGGGAGCTTGAAATTTGTAGATACTGACAGGTATATATAAAATAGATAAACAAGATTATACTGTATAGCACAGAGAAATATATACAAGATCTTGTGGTAGCTCACAGTGAAAAAGAACGCAACAATGAATATATGTATGTTCATGTATAACTGAAAAATTGTACTCTACACTGGGAATTGACACATTATAAACTGACTATAATGCAATAAAATAAAATAAAATAAAATAATATAAAATAGTTTATTTGGGGTCTTAGGAATTGCAACTTAGGAGACACAAATTTGGGTAAAAGCCAGTGTTTTGGGGAAAAGAAAATCAGGGGCTTATAAAGGAAAAAGCTTCAAGGTTGTTAAAAGTTGTCTGGAAAGAATTATAATTGACTGGACACAATCAAGGAAATATTTGTCCTTAAGGGACAACCTATCAGGAGTAATTTTAGGGTAAGGGGCCAGTAAGTATCTTGGGTTTGTGAAATATTGGGCAGAGGCTCTGGATGACTGTGTTAACACAGAAATTGGTCAAAGTTCAGATTCCACCCAGGCTGAGATGTGTGTAAGTTACACTTCTTCATTGGACTCCAGGCTCCATTTTTAGAGAGCTCCCTTAGCAATACCAACTCTTGTTTTTCCTTTCACAAGCATAAGCTGGTGCCTTACTTGGGAAAGTCTACTTGGTTATGATTGGTTGTCCTTAGGTTTCATTTCTTAACCTTGATGCATTTGCAGGCTTAGGTTTTGGTTTGCTCATATAGGCTGTCAGGGCATGAGAGCCACCTCCGTCTAGAGGCCTCCTTATTTAACTAAACAATTCAAAAACACGAAGAAGTGGAACTAATTTACTAAAGTTTAAACGTTCTGTTTAAATTACATATCCTATAATAAGAAATACGCTCTTTCAAGAAAGACTGTTGGGTAAAACTTTTGTTTCCTAGGGCCAGCAGGAGCCTCTCAGTGAAGCTTACCTTAAGTTACGTACTTTTTTTCTGAGACTAGATTCTTCAAAATATCAAAAACAAAAACTGCACAGTATTATCTCTGCGATAACCCTAAGGCGTCAGCATTGTGTTTGCACAGAGTACGTATTAAGTGTTCGAAAATTTATTTCCCAAAATATTATTTATGGTATATTAACAGGTTATTAATTCATTATTAAAACCAGATTGAGTCTTTTAAAATAGGACCAAAAAAGTTTTCCCCCTCAGAATGGCAGCTTCGCTTCTCCTCCCTCCTTAAACTCTTAAAAAATTGCATAGAAGAAAGAATTTATTTGTGAAACATTAAATTCAGTCTCTGCAGGGGAAGGGAGCATGATACAGTAACTTTTCTTAGAGATCAGACAGCTGCGTCCCCAGCATGCGGTAGTTACCAGTTGGAGGTTTGCGGCCTGAAAGGTTTGGCGGTTTTCCTCAGAGCTCATCTGTTACTGCACCAACTTCAGCCAGACCAAGGTCCCCTTTAAGGCCCGTGGATTGGTCAGGCGACGGGACTATTGGCTGATTCGGGCCCGAGCCGCTGCCCGCTCGCTCCTCTCGCCACCTTCCTTTGGCCGGGGCCGTTTTCAGCCCCAAGCGCACAAGGAGAGGCAGAACCCAACAGCCGCCGGAGCCGGCCGCCCTGCTCGCGGCCCGCGGACACGCTGAGCGACGCGCCGCCTCGGT